TTTAGGTTACAAATCCATCAATGTCAACACACTACACACAATTTTGACCAAACAAGCAGCTCTAGGTTAGAACAGGATTCTACATTACAAACTTTTTACTTTTACATATTCGCTATATCAGTGAAACAGTTTTACATAACAGATCTTCAATTTTTTTTCCCATTTTTTTACAAATTTTCCCAATTTGCCAGATTCATAACCTTTGAAAAAAGTGATAATGTTGACTTAATCATTATTATTAGCTTCACCGAACTTTGCAATATTTGAATATTAAGATTATACACGATATAAAAGCAATGTATGACAGTTTTTCTTCTTCTTCCACCCATGTCTAAGAAGTTCAGCTATTTTCAGTGGGCCTCTTAAATAAATGAAATAATTTGATGATCTATTTAAAAGAGAACTAGCAAAATGATTTTTTGTTCTAGAGTGGATATTTGATATGTCATTAATAATAGAATCAACCTTAAAATCGTTCTTTGGCTATTTTTTATGAAGTTATAGACGATTATATACGATTTTACCATGACGTCACTGGCGAAAAAGTAACAAAAGACCGTGTAAATAGTGCCGCGTATGGTATCCATCGCGTAGGGTATCCGCCGCGTACGATCATTGCGTGCATGCTGTAACAATCACAATTTACAGCCATGGTTACGGCGTACACGCAAAGATTGTACGTAGCGGATACCCTACGCGGCGCTATTTACACGATCTTTTGTTACTCTTTCGCCAGTGACATCATAGTAAAATCGTATATAATTGCCTATAACTTCATTAAAAAAAGGCCAAAAAACGATTTTAAGGTTGATTCTATTATTAATGGCATATCAAAAATCAGGCCCTAACCAGTGGGGGGGTGGGGGGTGTCATGGCACTTGATGTTTGGCCTAGCAGCTCGTTCAGTAACTTGCTTCTTCACTAAGGGTCTCTTCGTGTCTAAGCTACCCGGTAATTAAACCAGACAACCACCAAGCCACATCTCCACTACTAGTTGAGAGCCCCCTGTAGTTCACTCTTAATTGTTTTCTTTACTGAAATTAAAAAGACAGGCAGCACTTTTAAAACTAACAAATATTTTATTAGTGCAAACTTTCGTTCACGCAGTGAACTTTTTCAGGATACAAACAATTTATTTCAGCCAGTGACAGCAACAACAACAAAGTTTGTTCTTTCCAGCTCTAATTCCTCAACGTGTGCCTTTGTGCTTATAACTTATGGACAACAACAGTTACGGTGCAGCGTATTATATTGTATGGAGAGGCAAGTTTTTTTCGAGAGATTACAACTATTTCTTTTGCTAATATCCAACTGGCACCCTTGAAAATGACAAAGAAATTCAGAACTATACCTCAAAACATACCACTGACTGAGTATGGTCTGGCTCCGGGAAAATTTTCAGTTGGGTCTGCCAAAACCATGATATGATACGTATGTTTGAATGTTGTATTCTAAGTATTTTAGAATGGATCACTGTATGCTGTTACTGATTCTTAATAAAACATTTCTTGAAGCCTCACATCAAGTCATGCACTTGCTTTACCTAAATATTATTTAAATATTTAATATCTAAATATTTTGTAAATATTACAAAAATACAAACATCAACGTCCTACTAACACTTTGTCTTTGATGTCTAGTAGAATTACTAGTTAAAGACTGGGACATTTAGTCTAGATTTCTCTATTTAAAGGGAAATTAACAAATAATACTTTAAATGTTAATTACAGTTAATGTTTGTATACCTTTATTTATTCTTAATATAGGATTTCTTGGTATCCAGACTTTCAAGTCTTGTTCTTTTATACCAAACTTTCCATTAAAACATCACTATATAAAATCATCATTATTCAGTGGCTAATAGTTTTATGTTTATGTCATTTTACAAATTAATTACTGTATAGAAAAAAATTCCATTAACATCACTATTTTATTGTATTTAGGCCTAATTGGAGGGAAAATTTCAGTTGGGTCCACAAAACTATTGGTCTTTGGTATCTAAATAGTAGGTCCATGGAGGGAGTCTTTTAATTGGAGGCAAAAGCTAGTGATAAAAGATAAGCATTTACCCAGGGCTGCAGAAAATGGTCTTTATTTGGAATTGGCCTTTAATTGGAGAGAGACCTGTGCCAATTTCAAGAAACAACATAACTGGATTAGAAAGTCTACTAATACTGAATAACAAGATTCAAAGTAAACAAATACAATTTGACATCTGTCTGGAACCATCAATTCCATAATGAATGATTATTTAATTAATGTATTTTATTAGTGCAGGCTTTAATTTCACATCATTTTTAAACATTAAAAAAACAGGCAATTACTTTTAAAACTTCATCAGTATACTAAATATCTACAAATTAGTAGTTGTTTTGTAGGCAGTCTACCGAATAAGACTTGCCAAAGTTAAACTACAGTAGTAGAGAGAGAACTAAGTTTTGATAAAAACATTTTTATTTTTGTTTTCGTACATTTGTTTTTGATACAAACTTTTCTTTAAAAATAAAATCCTCAAGAAGTGTAAAATGTCACAAAATTGTATACCTCTTACATTTAGGATCTAGACCAGATTGTTGAAAACCCAGTTTGCTGAATGCTATTGCCGAGTCCAATTTGCCGAAAGCCAGTTTACTGACCGACTCAGAAACCATGAATCCCTCTTTGCCAAAACCCAGTTGCTGACGAACCCAGTTTGCTGAAAGCCAATTAATTAAAAGCAGTGAAACATTAACAACAGCATAAAATTCACGATTTAGCACTCTCCTACCATGACTGCATCTGTAAGAAGTGGTGGCTCCAGCGAAAAGTCAGCTGGTTGGCGAGAAGTCTGACATTAAGAATTTAGAAGTCATAATAATGTAATGCAATCACTGTGTATTATAATCAAAATAAATAGCGGCTTATTTTAGTATTATTGTATTTTTTTGTCTTCTACTGTAAATCAAACTTGATTAAAAATTAGAAGGCTTTCAGCAAACATATTAATTATGTAGACTATCAGATCAGTATTATAAGCATAATAATAATAAATATAGAGAGATTAATTAAAATCTACACATGCGACAGCGGTGACTCCAGAAATTTTGCGACAGGAGCCCCAAATCAAAGGTCAGGTTCCCGGCATAAGAATCCCTGGGCTCGCGGGAGAGTTTTTTAATATGGCCCAAATTGTGACAACACTATTAGGAATTGGGAATGTTATATGGATTCTCAGATTGTTAATTTTTGGTCCCAGATGATTTCATCGTGGTGTCAGATGACAGTGGGAGGGGGGAGGGGAGGGAAGGGACGGTGCTTAATCCTTCATTTTATTTCATTAAAATTTTAACTGATAGATGCCTTTAAGTCCCACAGCATTGTTGTTTTCCAGTATTCCATCCATCATGTTTTCAAATGCACAGTAGTGCTATATGCTATACTTTGGTACGAGGTGATGGCAAGATTCGGCAAACTGGGTTTCTCCAAAAACTTGGTTTCAACAAACATGGGTTGTCATGATTTCGGTGAACTGGATTCTGCAAATTGGGTTTCGGCAAAGTGCCATTAACTTACCAAAGTGGGTTTCGGCAAAATGGTCGGATACTCTTGGCATGCAGACCAATATGGCATCCTTCAGTATATATTCACTTATTAGGAAATGATAGGGTCATGTACTGTGTCATTACCTATGACCCATATGGCTAGTTTTAAGTTAATGACAGACTCAACATTTCAAAAAACAACTTGAGATGTTTATAATGACAGCTTTTGGACTAAAACCTTCGATAAAACTCATACATATGCCTTTGGAGACTCTCAAAATGGAGTCAGTTGGCCATTTAATGACCCCATGCAATAGTTTTTATTTGCTTGCTCATGTTTCATTGTCCTTTTAGCAGTTCAATAATTTCATACTTCCTTGATTTTGTACAGTTCCCTGAAAAATTAACTAAAACAACAACTTCAATTTGCTTAATCTCAGATGTACAGTTCTACAGATCGTTTCTAAAAATGCAGTACCCTTGCAATGAGTTAAACTTCTGAATACATTAGATCATCATCCATTCAAGTTTTCATAAGAATTAAGAAACCAAAAAAAATCTGAAAATAAAGAATCATGGAAGTTTTTTTTTCCATTCAATGTTGATGTACAGTATTATAGAGTAACACTGTCTTGAAATCCTCAATTTTAATTAATCTAGGCCTGTACATTCCTTCTTTAGGGACTGAAATAAACAAGTTAATTAAGTTTTGATAACAGGTACTTTCAGTATCAAATCAGCACAGCTATACATGTGTCTAAATTTAGGTCACTTTTGAAAGGTCAAAGAAATGACTTCACTGTATTAATCTAAATCAACATACTTTAAATAAGAAAATATAATAAACTATGTAACCCAAGAAGTAAATGCGACATGGTATCCATCAAGCACTTAATGTGGCTCAATAAAAAGGAAAATCAAGTGCCATGTTTCAAGTAAAATTGAACATGTTTTTAGGATGTTTTGGCAGCTGTTGGACCAAGTTGAGAATTCGCAGAAGATGGAAATATCAAGATCAAACTATTATAATGCTGCAATCAGGGGTCTAACTGTGAAAGCAAAATGATTTCCAGAATGCTTAATGAAATCTGTCATGGATTAACACCTTTGATGATCTCACAAAGTTAAAGCTTCTTTTTGTGTTTAGTATGACTCTACATGAGTTAACCATATTATATCATACGCAGTATAAATATTATTACTTTTGGAAAAAGTTCTAAGCATGTATTTTGTGTTTGACTAACAACTCCATTTCTTACAAAATACCTTGGTGAAGGGAGGGAAGAGTAGAAATTATTTTTTGTTGCTGATGGAGAAAAAAAATGTCCTTTCATGGAAGGGCAGTTAAATAAATTTAGCCACCTGTAATTTAGTTAAAACTGAAAACATAATGTAAAATGACTCAATTTTATCCTCCCAATATGATTTATCATATTAATTATTATTATCAGTACTGTATACAAATTTTTATTCCTACAGAAAACAAGGAGATAGGCTACTTACAAGCAATCACTTCCGCTGGGATAATGTATGACATCACAAAAGCCTGCGGTAGTGGAGAACTCATGGAGTGCAGCTGTGACAACAGAAAACGCCAAGCAGGGAGCAACTTTACATGGGGTGGGTGCTCAGATAATATTAGGTATGGGGAATATTTTGCAAAAGATTTCATCGATGCATCTGAGGAAGGACAGACAGCGTCCAGTCTAATGACACTGCACAATTATGAGGCTGGTAGACAGGTGAATACTTATTTTTATTTTACAATTTTTAATTAATACGTACGGGCCTAAAAAATTTAGATAGCCAACAACAAATTATTAACAATAATAATAATAAACACAATAAAGAAATAAAGAACATTGTTATTGTA